TCGGAAATTTCCTACTCGACGGAATTTCTTCCATTGGAGTCCGATCTCCCAGCGTCTCGTCTTTCGTTCTGTCTAGCCGAGACGACAGTCTTTTCCATAACGCTCGACACCTGCGACGCGGGAACGAGCTGTTGTCCACGCACACCCGGTTACTTTACATAAGATATGCGCGAGCTTAGACCGTGCTGAAAATAAACTCATAGCGATTCGACACGTTCGATCGTGACGCTTGGTCTCGTTGTCATTTAGCCTGATTTCCATCGACACGATTCGCGGCGCGCGGTGCGGAGCCGGAGCCGGTTTCGCCGCGCGAGTACGCGGAAAAGGCAAACCATTATAAATAGCCGGAACTATTACACGAATGATCGGGTACTCGGATTTAAAGTTAGACACCATCAAGGTTGCCGCTTGAATACTTTCGCGTCCCCTTTCGATCTCTTTCTCTCGCTATCTTTCTCTTTTCGACGTGCAACAGTCAATTGAGAATTACTGCGGCAGCGTTGTTAGAAACTTTGATTTCCAGCTTAACGACGTTTCAAATCTATAGAAAATGTTCTTTTAAAGAAAATACACAACTTCTTTCCGTGTTCGGGAATTGTTGACGATAAAGCAACTCTAGCGAGCCCACGCAGGAAGAAGTTGAAATACGGAGAATTAAAATGAGCTGATAATTATTCGTTCAAGAAATTCCAAGGCTTCTTGGAGATTTCTCGGAAATTCAGAACTGAAGAATTATTGTTATAATGTGTACCGTTTGGTGATTAAAGTAAATGAAAGTCGAGCGTATTATTGATCGAACAACCCTCAACCGAATCGATTAGAAAATGATCGAAGGAGCCACGGGATCCCAATTAGAATTCCATCTCTCGAACGGAACAACGAGCAGATTTCCATTTCGATAATAGTGCTCATAATTAAGTACCCGCTCTGATACGCGTGGATACTCATCGACAAGCTGTTTTCGATAAGATATCGGACGCGGATCGCTATTCACCGACTGTCCGGGGTGGGGGAATTGAAAGAGTCCAGGTGAATCGTCCCGAAACCGCCCCGGCCACGGGGGAAAAAATTTCGCCCGCGACAAATTACACATTGTACGGTCGCATTGTACACGACTCGCGGCGAGTGTTGACACTCACGGGGAAAAAAGATAAGATAGCAGCTGTTTCAGCAGCCAATCGCCGCTTCAGTGCGTCGTCGTTCTACGTCACTGTTGCTAACTGTGGTTGTGTACACACGCCGATTGATATTTCTGTCGTTTCTCCAGCTTTTTTCCTCTCTCTCTTTCTTCTTCTTTCGCTCCCGCCGCGAATAGTCGTCGATTTCACTCGACGAGGAATGTCGCTCGGCGTCGAAACCAGGCCGATAGCCTGGCGCACGCCGGAAATCGCGTTGGAAGAGTAACAAAGCCGCGCGCGAAGTCTGTATCGGTCGCGTTTTCGGCACCAGCTATCGCCAGTGAGCAGACACTGGAAAATTTATGAATGATGTCGGGAGGAAGAGAGGTACAAACGAACTCGGCCGATAAATTAATTGGATTAGATAGGGTCCCGCGGAACGAAAAAGCGGGAAGTATCTCAGCGCGAGACTCTGTCATACACGATCCAGACCCGGAAAGACTACATCCGAATACTATGAGATTCGAATTCACAGTTGGCTATGATTCGTGGCTTGGAGTCTGACACGGAAACTTCGGATGCGAGATCTAGCGTCAGTCATTTGTTTGAACGGTTGGGTTTGCACGCAGCTTTCCGCGCAAAAATGGCATCAGGTATTTACGCGTTCCACCGCTGATAAAATGCTTTCACTATCAATCGCGGCGAATGGCGCGCGTAACGACCGTAGATCAAACAGTTCGGCGCGTGTAAACACCGTTAAGCCTCTTAACTTTGGCCTGTAAACAAGATTACATCCAGCGGGCTAGAGATCTGCAAGCAATTAGATTGTAAATGACGAGCTGGTCGTGTTATTTCACTGAACCTTTTCCTCTTTCTCTCTCCCTCCATCTTTCTCGCTCGCGCTCTTCCCCCGTGTTGCTCGGCTCGAGCGGCGTCGCAACCAGCATTCCTAGGCGCGATAACGCGATTCTATTTGACCGAAGCAGCTATTTTTACACGCTGTATCGCGACGCTTCTGGAATTCGGAAACACGGCCTCCCGACGAGGCCGGTGATTCCACAACGAAGAAACGAGGAAGCTAGCCGTGTTTATCATATTTTCGCGCTACCAATAAAATAGGGGATGGACCGCGAGCATGCACGCCCGCGACGCCGAATGGCGTGCAGGAATGTGATAACTGCGTGGTTGTGATAACGCTTAACTTTCGGCCACTTCAAAATATCCTTGACCAGTTTTTCTTATAAATCAGTGACGAAATCCTGTTCCGCAGCTAAGGTCGTTATGTCAAGCTGCTCGTCGCGAAATTTATTTCACCCAATGTAACGAGTTTCGGTTTAGTTGCCGTTGGAACGCGAATATTCCAGCAAACACAAATTTCTCTATGATATTTTAGTATAATGAGGATCGTTGAGGAATTTCGTCGTTGATATTGAAGACGAGAAGAAAATGTTATTGTTAAATTACTACTGTTAATGGATATGTATATTTTTATAGGAAAATTTCAGTACTACTGATATATTAAGTTGCAGTGAATCAGTTCTGTTTATAGTTCTATACAAGCGCGTGTTCTGAGAATATACAAAGTTGGCGGGTCAGAAATCAAATTGAAATTTAGATGCGCGATTACTGCGCACGCGCGGTTCGTGGTACCGATTCTGACGCCATTACTGCGGATTCTTAAATACCGCAACTACTAAAGAAAGATATAACCAAATGATGACTGCCAGTTTACAAGAAACGTGAATCTCTGATCTACAAAAGCTACCCCAAACATTACCACCAGTATTTCAAATTCCTAATCACAAATAAACAGCCACTCCAAGAGTATCAATTCAAAATTTAGTAAAGGTTATGAAGTGATAGTAATAGACTACAAAAACTTTCTCCCAACAATTTAACATTTGCGCATCAATGATCTCTGTGAACGTTAGTGGGTCCACATAACTATCAACTCCATGAAAATTAATAGACGGAGCAAGAAAATCGGGACTCACGTTATTCGATGCTCAAGTCAACCTTACAGACTAGCGACCGATGCTAGGCTCGTACCACACATTCAGCAGACACCTCCGTTCTCCGGTACTCGAACGGTTCAAAATTCCATGCACCAACCAATCACTCATCCACGATCACACAGGGCGCGCAAGAATTTCCCACGCGAGGAGGAGGATTCCCGGCTAAGAATCGTACGGTGGTCGTAGTCGCGTCGCCGATCTCGATCGCCGCGCCGCGCAAGTGGCGCCAACTGGCCGGCTCGCGGCGACACTATGCTCCCCCGAAGTCATGTGTGCGCTCAGTATATTGCGGCCTCTGCTAGCGTATGGTCGTTCGCGTTAGGGGCACGTCGATTAGGTATATCGCGGTGGCGCGTACCGTTCCTCGTGAAAACGAGCCCGGTGACTCCTACACATCGTTTCCATCGTTCGCACGAGTCGTACACGCGCGCACGACACGCACGGGTCTCCGAAGTTCCCGGAGTGGCGTTTACAGAGCGCGCTCGCGCGCGCGTTTCTCTCGTCTCTCTGCGCGCAGTGGATCCGCTTTGATACGACCAGGCGACACAGGGGGGAGAGACGAAGATAGATAGACAGACCGTTGCAGGGGCACAGAGGCGGAGGGAAAAGCCGCGAGAAGAGAAGAGGAGTGTGGATCGGAGGATCGAGAAAAAGGGGATAAGAGAAATAAAAAAGAAGACGCATCTTGGTCGGGATAGAGAAGTGCGTCTGGTGTTCGCGCCAGGCTCGTGAGGCGTCCTTCCGCGTTCTCTCTCGCGCGTATACGCGCGCTGGAGTATCGCGCACGGCCAAGTGGTGTGATTTTTATTACCGACCGGAGCGCAGTGGTGACCCGCGGGAGGACGGAAGTAGCCGTTCAGTGAAGTTCCTCGACTTTTTCGCGATCGGTCAACCGGAGACCCGCAGGGATGACGAGGTAGCCCCCCATTCCGAGGGATTGGATTACCATGCTGGACACGGCCACGAGTCGCAGGTAACAGAGAACCGTGTGCGCCCCGTGTACACTGCCTCCTCCCCCTCCCCTACTTGCTTGC